CACATGCCATTGAGCAAAGGCGTCTTTTCTTAGACAAAGATGGGGAGCTGAAGGTAAGCAATGACTGGTTCCACCCAAGGGGACTGAAGTTATGCTGTGGTATTTGCAATGGTTTTCCAGTTTGTCCTGAGATAGGATGAGTCCAGGCAGCGCAATCTAGCAGCGCCAGTGCGATGAGAAAGTCCATCTTTGTGCAGGCTTCCCTCCCCGCCTCGCTCACTGCTGCTGCCAGCACTGTGCTCCGTCGTGTTGGAAGCTCCAGCCTAAATAACTGGGCAGTGTATGGAGTAAACATCAATAGCTGGTGCGTACAGGGACTGGCAGGTGGATTATTTAATCTCTGATTGATAAAGGAAGATGAGGAAAACAACTAGCTATGAGGGTGACAGGGAGAAAGACCCATAGCTGATGCTACCCATCGAGCCTGGCTCTGACAGTACAGCACTGCTGCAGTAGAGGAATGTCATCCGGATGCTGGTGGGAACAGAGAGATCTGAGGAAAAAAGCATGTGTTTAAGACCATCTGAATGTGAGGACAGTAGCAGCAGTGCTATAGGCTAAAGCTTAGAAAACTGGAAAATGAGGAATTTGGAGAGAAAAGGGATGGAATAGAACAGACAAGTCAAGAAGAGACAGATGCCTGGAGGAGGATTTGAGCCAAAATGGATCAAGGCTGAGACAGCAGTAGAGGGTGCTGACCGATGCACAAGGCAGATCGGCAGTCCTAAAATATGTGAGAGGAGGTGGTGAAATCAAGGTTGAGGATGATGGATCTATAAACGGTGGAGGCACAGGACATGTGCTAAGCAGGTGGTGGTTCTTGCCCTCAGAGCATGCCTGTTGGGCTCATTTGCCTGGAGCAGGCCCTGAGAGCAAGTGGAGGAGGAACCACTGCAAGACCCTCACTCAGTCCATTTTCCCAGAATACAAGACCTTCTGTTTTCCATACTCATTGAGGTGCGTTTGACCTCAAGGTTAAAAGGCAAACTGAAGCAAATACACCACCAGAGTAGAGAAGCTGGAGAGTTTTCTCAACCCATTTAGGTGTGCAGTAAAACCCATGAGGGAAGGTAGCGCCGTGCTCCTGCTCTTTCCCAGTGCTATCCTTCTCGTTTCTCCCCAGGACGTGAAAAGTGTTGGAGTTGTACAGTCTGCTCTGCTGGGAGCCGTCCCAACCCTGCTGAATGCAGAGCTGACAGATTTTACCTATGACAGCTTCCAGCAGATTGACAGACCCATGTTACCTTTCACCACCACCCCGCCAGGCACAAGGAATGACTGGAACTCAGAAGATGAAACCATAGCTGGGGCTGTGGGCTGTCATGAACAGCAACCATCTGGGGAAATTGCCTCTTCTGAAGAGGAAGGAGAGGCTGAAGATAAAAGCTGTAAGATGACTTGGAAGAAGAGCCAGAGGCTAGCAGATGGCTTGATGAGATTCAGCATCGATCTCCTGAAAGAGGTCCAGCCGGAGTCCAACGGAACCAATGTGATCCTCTCACCCCTCAGCATCGCCCTTGCCTTGTCTCACCTGGCGCTGGGTAACTTCTTACTTACAAAAGCACCGTTTCCTGCCCTTACCTGTACCCCCTCCTGGAGGCACTAGGAACCAATGTGCAAAATGAAAAGATTAAATACGGCAACTTCCACTTAATCTTACTCCTGCAGCTTTAATTAGGTACGATTACAATTGAAGCTGCCCTCTGTGGCCCTGCTGAGGCTCCTACTCTCAGGTTTCTCCAGCCTCTTTTGTAAGGCACAGTATATTTCTAACAGGAGGCAGCTAGAGTAACGTCCCTGTTTTCCACCACATGGACATAACCTAACAGGAATTTGACTTTGCTTTTTAGGAGCAGCAAA